TTCTACGGAAGCCCGTTAGTGTCAACAGTGTATACAAATTTCAAATCAGTTATCTGGCGGCCGCCACTTAATTATCTGGCGGCCGCCACTTAATTATCTGGCGGCCGCCACTTAATTATCTGGCGGCCGCCACTTAATTATCTGGCGGCCGCCACTTAATTATGGGTACCCAGGTTGCGGTATAGCATTATCTTTATGTAGAACAGGCCATTAAAGAGCATGATTGGCCTAGCATTTAATATACGGTAGCATTTAGCCTAGCTATTCATTTTAGCTACAGCTTGTAAAAGCTTATAGGCCTAATAGCAGTCATATAGCCATTCACAAAATATATCTATATCTTTGCTGTAGCACATCAACTGTATTATATGTTCTATTTTGCTGTTTATGTGAGTGTGATATTGTCTGTTATAGCTGAGTTAAATATTAAAGGGCATTATATGATTAAAAACATACTAGTAGCTGGTCACCATCTATACCTTATAATGGCAGTCATATTATATAGCACCAATTAAAAAAAATATTAGCAATTACAGGGTTAAGTATTAAATAGCGATTAAAATTAAGCATTAAATACGGTAGTGTTTAAAAACATGGTAGCTGGTCACTATCTAGCTATAATATCAATTTTATTATAGCACCAATATCACAAAATATAGAAATCACTGATTAAAAGCATGTTAGTAGCTGCCACAATGGTTTAACTACATTTTTTACACAACGTTTGCGATGATAGGCGTTAGAGTTAAGCACGCCAGCAGTTTAATACCATTTACCATTGAAGGCTTTTGTGCCTATAGGTTTAGGCACGTCAGCAGATTACCGTTGAACAGATGTTTGCAACGATATTCGTTATAGTTAAACACGTCAAGCGTTGGCGCCGATAGGCGTTACCGTTAAGCAATTTAGCACATTACCATTTAAAAAGCGTTTGCAACGATAGGCATTAGGGTTAATCACGCCAGCAGTTTATCATTGAGTAGGCGTTTGCGATGATAGGCAATATTAGGGTTGAGCAGATTAGGTGAATAGGCGTTTGCGAAGATAGGCGTTAGGGTTAAGCACGTCAGGGGTTTGCAACAACAGGCGTTATGGTTAAGCACGTCACTGGTTTACCATTGAATAGGCGTTTGCGGACGATAGGCTTTAGAATTAAGCAAGTCAGGCGTTTGCGCCGATAGCTTATATGGTTATTTTGTGGATTAAGTTTGGAGCACGTCAGTATTTTACCATTGAAAAGACGTTTGCGACGATAACAAATAGGAAAAATAACATATTCAATTGCAAAAAATTGCAAAATTACCGGTGAAAATGCCTATACATTAGCGTACACAGTTGAAAATCTTATTAACACTAATTCCTCTTCATATATGCAATGGCTGGTGCGAACATCTATTTATTAGCGGACATGGTAAAATGGCTGACATGTTTATCCTTAAAGCCTATCGTCGCAAACGCCTGATGACTTGCTTAAACCTAACGCCTATCATCGCAAACGCCTATTTAATGACATTCTTTTAATCGCTATTTAATGCTTCCTAGTGATGTTATATTTTGTGAAATGGGTGCTATATGACTGCTATTATAAGCTATAGCTATTGTATAACAGCTACGAACATGCTTTTAATCGCTATTTAATACTTAACCATGTAATTGCTATATGACTGCCATTATAAGGTATAGCTGATGACCAGCTAATTGTATGCTTTTAATCACTATTTAATGCCCTTTAATATTTAACCCAGCTATAACAGACAATATCACACTCACATAAACAGCAAAATAGAACATATAATACAGTTGATGTGCTACAGCAAAGATATAGATACATTTTGTGAATGGCTATATGACTGCTAATTTTGTGAATGGCTATATGAGTGCTATTAGGCCTATAAGCTATTACAAGCTTTAGCTAAAATGAATAGCTAGGCTAAATGCTACCGTATATTAAATGCTAGGCCAATCATGCTCTTTAATGGCCTGTTCTACATCAATGCTATAACGCAACCTGGGTACCCATAAATAAGTGGCGGCCGCCAGATAATTAAGTGGCGGCCGCCAGATAATTAAGTGGCGGCCGCCAGATAATTAAGTGGCGGCCGCCAGATAACTGATTTGAAATTTTTATTCACTGTTGACACTAACGGGCTTCCGTACTGTTATGATACCGATCGATCAATATAATTAATTGTTACTCTTTTCTTGCCTTTAAAACGTGTAGTACCTTCAGTACTGTGATGACATTTACCTTTTACGGTCCGGTCGAATTTATGAGAACGGTTCACACAACGTGTTAATGGAAAAGGATACAGAATACAGAACGCTAATTAAAACACATTATAATAAAAATCTGAAAACACCCACGAAGGAGGAAGAACATTCGATAAATCATGACACATTAACCAAACAACCAGACGAACAAAAATATGATGATACTATAAAAAGCAATAATATGGATATACCTGCAGAAAGTGGTAAGTATGTTCTATCCGTGATTAAATTCAATCAAATATTTGTATAGCGCCGCGGTTTCGATTGGTTTCCTTAGCAGACTTTTTATCGTATTGTTTTTATTCCGGATACCAGTATTGCGTATGAATATATAAGTGAGTAAGTAATATTTATTGTTTTCCATGAAATCATTACATAAAAGACAAAAAATGATCACAGTGAGAAAAATAGATACAAAACAAAATCAGAAAACTTTCATAAACCTGGCCCTCCCTTAAACAAATTTAACATAGAAAGCAGACGATAGATATTATCAATTAATACATAATCGGCTGGCTGTAGTAAAATCTAGAAAACAATGAAAAGCAATTAAAAATTTAATTGCTCTTTTAAACGGATCAATGAAAGTTTTCAACCAACGAGACACAGATATTCAGTTTTTTTTTTAATTAATTTTTGACGCGGAAATTCAATTAGTGCAAATATATTAAGAACAATACTATTTTTGCGTTTATTAATTTACGAGGAATGTACTTTTCAATTCTAATTTTTAGATGAAAGCTAATAAATTTAAATTCAGATACTGAATAAGCCAATTCGTGGTTTGAACTGCGCATACACATATTAAGTGGTATCCAAGGTCAATCGACAAAAAAATGTGTGTGTGTCTGCTTATGTCACCTCGAATGACCTTGATGCGAGAATTTGCAGTTCAAACTATGAATTATATTCGTATTATTATAACGGCTTATTATATTCACGTTTATTAGCGCAATGTTAAGTCTACTGATGGCTTTAAAACTAATACACACTGTTGAATACCGTATATTCGTCTTTGTTTAGTTTAATATGTATAATACGCATGGATATAGACTTTATAACTTAGAATATTTAAGAGAAGCTGCGACTTCTCTGGAATACGGCTGCACGTCTCTCGTGTCAGGAGCCTCTTGATTTGAGCATTACACCTACTCTTCGTCGCCTGCTCTGGTTACCTATTAAGCAAAGCATCACATTTAAATTGTTGCGTTTCACATATAAATCATTAAATAGTAAATCACCCTCATACATATCCGACCTGATTAAATTTGCTCCACCACTTGTTCTAGAGCTCTCGGACCCGCATCTAGTTCATCTACATTGTTTGTCCCTCCATGTCGTACAAAGACGTATGGGGAAAGAGCATTCTCCATTGCTGCTCCCAAGGTGTGGAATAGCTTGCCTATTTTTGTTCGTGGGTCTTGTTAACCGACTGTGCCTGAAAACCGAGTGTGCTTGAAAATCAATTTTATTTGAAGGCTGGCCTTTTGACGTTCCATATAAAACCCAGATGCGAAAGTATGTACGTATGATGTTGCTTTTTTGGCGTTCCATATAATACCACAACGTACATGTCATCGGGCAAGCCATGTGGACGCGAGCCAGGTACTCTGATGAAAGACTACTGTAAAAGTCATTATTTTTCCCTCAATTAATCTGAAATTTAGATTTATATTCACTTCATGAGATGGGGACTTTAATGATCTATGTTGTTACAGTTTTTCAGACCGATAGGTTTCGAACCCCAGGCGTTATGTGACGACTTGGGCAATAGCACTGTGATTGTAGGCTTTGATATGAGGTCATCGTAATTATAAATATAGATTAATATTATTAATATTGTAAATCGATATATTTTAGTGGCACTTGTCATTGAAAATATTCACCTCGATTTTCATTGACAAGTTAAAATAAACGAGTTTGGCTCTGGTGGAATGGAATGAAAAAACGTTGGCCGGATCGGGATGAAGAGCTAAGATCAAAGTAAATAAATCAAATTTAATTAGAACACAAATTGTGCAACAACTATTTCAATGACGCTTGTATATATTTTAGGTAAACTGATTCGAAAAGAAGACGCAGGGATAGGGGCTGGCAAATTCTCCTACCTGTGGAAATACATCAAATACACTGGAGGAGTGCCGACGCTAATCGTGTTCATCTTTCTTAGTATATTTGCGTCATCAACAACGCTTGCTGTCAATTTAACGTTGACATTGTGGATTGATGCAGGTGCTGGTGTAAGTACTCGCCGAAAAATGTGTGCATGTGCAACCGTTATTTTTGAATAATACGGTTTTTTTTGTGACACTATGCGACTTTAATAGAATGTTGATATATTAGCTGTGAGTCAAACATTATCTCTTTTTTTCTTCTTATATTGAGTAAGTACTTTACAACGTCATCTTTATATTCTTTAAGAGTTTCAACACTAGTGGAACGGATTACCATAGCAACGACATCCGACTCAATCCTGACTTCCCAAAATATGTTACTGCTTATGCTCTAGTTTTCGTTGCGATATTCGTTTTTGGAACAGCAAGCACTTTCTTTAATATTAAGGTTAGTATCTTTGCAACATTCCGCAAAAGTAGAATTACTTTCACTACGGTCTCGCTTTTCCAAAATCCATTACAATATGAATATTGTGAAAATTCTCTTATTTTTTCCATCCAGATATTTCGTAAAGCATCGGGTAGAATTCACAACAAAATGTTTAACAAATTGATTCTTGCAAAGATGCAATTTTTTGATACAACGCCAATCGGACGAATATTGAATAGATTTTCGAAGGATATGGATGACAGTAAGTAACGTATAATAACATTAAAATACATTAATTAATTACATGTAAAAAACCAAGGAAACATTTCCTTATTTCCCTCTTTTTCTTCAATCTGATTCTGGAAATTGTTTGTTTGCTTTTATTGGTTTCTCCACACACAACATAAATAGTACAATGTATTGAAACTTAACTAACATTACAAAAGTAGATAAGAAGAAAAAAATATATATATATACATATATATGCATATACATATGCATAACTGTACAGTATAATATACACATACATACACACACACACATACACATACACACATACATATATATATATATATACATATATATATATATATATATATACAGTATATACACACATATACACATACACACATACATACACATACATGCGCACACATACATACATATACACACATGCACACATATACACG